CATTAGTCTTGGCTTTCTTGAACCACCCGTCAATATTTACATATGCAGCCATGGAACAAAGATTTAACTTGAATGGAAAATCTGCATGGAGCAGATGAATGAGGTCATGTTTCAGCAATAATGAGAAGCAGAATATGAGCATTTCTGTTGGGAACCAGGAGTTGTGCCTCTCCAGAAATTGAGTTTTAAGTGAATCTACATGAAACCATTGACAGCGGTGGCCTGTGGCTCCTGCCAGGATCTCTAAACTTTATGACACATGAGCCCACGGTGAATCTGGCTTGATTGCAACCATTTGTCAGGTGGGTGCCCCCCAAGAGATGAAGGGTCTGCGGGGTTTGAGCGGGAAGGTGGTACGTAGGCCTGACCCCGTCACGAGTCTGGCATCTGACCTCGGCGCAGATGGGTGCCCCTATGGGTGGGCGAGGTCACGCAGCTGACATTCCATAACACCGAGAGGTGGTCTGGGCATCAGCATGGCCACTACAGACTGCGCTGTCACTTTCGTCAATTTGCAAGACCCCCCCCCCACCCCCCCCACATCTCTCCCATTTTTTCCAAGCTTCAAAGCTGACACAGTGCAGTTAAAGTTGATGACAAAAAAGGGAATTCATGGTAAAGCGATGTTATTATGGATAAAAAAAACAATATATACATTGCGTAGACAGTGGTGTAACCTATGTCTTGTGCTCCAGCCCTGCAATAGCTCGCTCGCGCCACTGCTGGCAGAAGGGCCTCCACTAAAGGGAGCTCTGCAGAGCCCCACTGGAGTAGAGAACCCCGACCTGTGGTCCACGTCGCTGCGAAAGGTTGGTTCGTGGAACTCTTGCAGATGCAGTTACTCTTTTCTTTGCGAAGAAATACTCAATATTGTTGACCGTATAGTGGGTCCACGAAAATTATTTTTGAGGGTTGAGTGCGGTACGTGGTCCAGAAAGGTTAGAAATACTCTGTTCTAGAGAGTTCTTTGGCCTACTCTTCCACGCTGGCCCGACATTTTTGGAAGAGGTCAAAAGTACTCACGCTTCACCCCACCACAAATGGACTGATGATCGACAGACTGTTTGCGATACCCATTTGTACTTTTGGGTTGACAGAGCCGGTGGATTTTTAGAAACCTGCACGTTGTTTCAATTGCTTCCCTGGGAGATCGAACTGGCGACCTCTGGGTTGCACCTCCAATGAGCTCACCGTTACTGCTACTCTGTATCACCAGCTAAACCCCGCACATATATATATCATGGGAGATTCTCACTCCTTTCCCAGCTTCTTCAACAATTCTCTTCATCATCTGAATCTGTTCTCTCTCACCCCATCATCGCTCCTCATTGCTCGTACTCGCCAGCTCCTCTCCTCACTCGTAAAAGGGGGCCAACAGGGTATTTCTGGATATGTTGGTACATTGTTTCACGCCGCCCTCCAACATTATTGTCCTGACCTAATACACAATTGCCAAAAGATTGACGGACAAACATGCAACGCGTGCACGAAAACAAAATATATTATATTTTTGATTGCATGAAGCATTTATTATTTTCCTTTGGAAATGAAAAGCACTAACAGGTGGTAATAGTTCTTTGTGGCACTCCATTAATTTCTTTCAAATTGTGACTCAAGAAAAAATACTTACTCTGACTGCAAAAATGTAATTTTAAAAGGCAGCACAATCTTTGGAACGGAAATTATTCTGAACACACCCAGCGGTCATTTAATACACCTGGTGGTGGTGGTGGTGGTGCCGTTTTGTGGCCTTTGCCGTTTTTTTATGCCAATCGGTGCGTTTTTAATTAATGAGCCATGACCATTACAAAGCAACATCTGAGCTTGAATGAGAAGTAATGAGAACCCTGAGCTTTTTGAATGTAGCTTGAGGGTCTGCAATTTACTATAATGAGGAGACTCATTTTGTGGCTTTTTAGATGGCCTTTAAAATATGACAACCAAAATGAAAGTTCCGCTGTAATGAAACATAATTTTCTCTTATCTCGGTAATTTTAGTTTTTAAGTTTCAGTACACAAAACAATTTATCGGTGTTCAAAACGGAAATAAGTTGTCATTTTTAAATGTGATGAAACTGAACAAATGGTATTTAAAAGGGATAAAGACACAAGTTGATATTATCACAATTTTAGATTGATCTCCTGCCTCTGGGGCGCTTGCAAAAGACATAGGAGTAAAACAAAAACGTCAACCATTTATTTGTTTTCAAAGGCGTTGTTACAAAAGTCCCTACATGATTAATTTAATGTTTCTCAGATCCATTTAGGTAAAACTATATACACCTGCACATCATGTCGCCTGTATTCCTTTGGTTGGTTTTCCAGCACCACTCTCAGAAGCCTCCTTTATAGCCGTATATGTGACCAATCTAACAAAACCATTCTTTATGATGTTTTCCACAAAGTAAGTGGCGTCTGCTGTACAGTACTCTTGACTTTTCTGAAGCACGTTGTGCAATACATCGCAGAGTATAACCATTTAACTTAATGATGTTTGGGTCAGATTGCATTCGTACAATCTGTGTCGTACACCCTCATCCACCCGACACAACCGACTAATAGAGTTGTCATTTGAACAAACGTGCCAATGTATTACTGCTTCAACACACCAGTATGTTGGAGAGCAATCCACAACATGCAACAATTGGGTACAGATGTTTCGCTGGTAGTTATAACCAGCATCATCAGGCAGTTGCCAGGATTGTGAAAATGTCCCCACACCATATATTTAAGGCCAAAAGTTATTGGCCTTAAATAGGTGGTGTGATTTCATCAACACGCACCCTGACCCAAAATTAATTACGAATCGTATTGGTTGCAAAAGCCTGTGTTCAATCATTAACATTATCCATACGCTGCAATCAAGCTGTTTACATATTTTGACAAACGTCATGAAAATGTATTATTGTACACAACGTCATTTGATATGCTCGCTGCTCTTGGTAAATAAAAAATTACACTCAATTTCCTTTCCATCTTTACACATTTAATCACCTGTGCAATGTTACCGAACCCTGATACTCATCTCATCACACCAATAAGATAGAGCAAATAGGCATCTTGAGCTCAACAAAAGAATGCCAATTATGATGGGTTTATTTTCAATCATGGTGAGGTAAGAAAATGATCTTTGCATTTCCTTCATGACCTCGACTCTCAATCTACCTTGCATTCATCAGACAGGACCAATCCTTGAATGATCACTCTCATTCTATTCTGATCCATAATAGAGCTCATTCTTTGTTACTCTTTGCCTTTGTCACATTGACTAAAACTAATTAATTATAAAACAGAGTTATGTGTTAATCGCAGTCTTTACACATATATACCGCATATATACAATTGTCCCTACCATAATCTGCAAGCTGCATATTATCCATACGAATGGAAAAGTTCAAGGTAAATGTGCAGTCCTGCTCTCCTTGTTCACTCCACTGCTTGTGGAAGGGTGTCCGCTAGAGGCTGCTTTAGAGACCTCCTCAGGAGGACATTTGGCCTACTCTTCCACACTGGCCGGACATCTTGGAAAAGGGGGGAGTCCCCACGCTTTACCTATGATATAACGGTCAGAACACCGGACTTGGAAATTCAGTTTGATCTCACAGTTGAATCATCAATGAGAATGTTTCTTAAATACCCCCACCTCTGTCCAAACAGCAGTACAAACTGGTAACACCATCCTGAGTCTCATCGGTAGGTCCCGTGTGATGGGTAAAGGGCTAATCCAATACATTAGAAAAAATATATATATCGTCCACTGGTATATATCAATGTGTGTGTGTGCATGTCTTTGTATGCATAAATTCGTACGTATGTGTTTATGCACACGTACGTGCTGTTGTTTTAATTTATTGGGAAACCTAAATCAACGTCACTGTGGAGCCCAGCTGCATGGCCAAGGCCAATGAGGTTTCATTGCAGAGTTCCTTTGTTTGCCTGAGTCCTTCATGAAAACAAAATTACTCAGCCTGTGGGAAGCTTAAAATGTAAACAGTTCTCTGTATAAATAATGAGCTTAACCAGGTACAGAACAGATTCATATAAAATCGCCTGTTAAATCCCAAGTCGCAGTTGAGAATTGGGATTAAAATGTTCATTTGAACACCATTGCAAAATTCAGTATATGCTCCTCGAAGACATCTAAACTGGGCTCTGTGTATCTCCTACAGGTTTAAGACCACTTGTTATGACACGCAGCTGTTAAATAATATTTTTTAAATTAAAATACTGCTTGCCATAATTATATCTAAGATATGGAAGACAATCTGCGATGAGACATTTCATTGAACTACCGATGTAGAAGTGTGTTGCTTTGAGAACGTAGGATTTGCGGTGATCTTGCTCCATCCACGTAAGTTAATTCATGCAGCCCTGGAGATTAAAAACTTCCAAGGGTGTAGGTCGCTTCTGGCATAATGATCGATATTTAAACAAACAAAAACACTGTCCCCACGGCTTCTAAAATACCCTTCTATATAATAGGGCATCTGGACAGGTTAACGTGAGCGCACATAGACGTCCACACGATGAATCTTTCAGCAGAATCTTCCAATGCAAGATGCGACAATTAACGTCTTCCATGAGAGGCCACGGGGCCGCATCCATCCTGAGCAGGCGCCATGCGTGATTAGCACGGTTGGCTACGTATGGTGCGAAAGAAGTTCAACATACACTTTGGTGGTGCCCTCCATCTTGTCAGCACACGCAGGAGGCTGGAGCAGCACTTTGCTCCCTACGTCACCTGCAAACCTTTACCTGGGAGCTACCAAAATCTGCCTGGAGATCAATGGAGACTTGTTTGGAGAAACTATTGTGGGTTTGGAGCCGGCAGTGAACAAATCACCTCTTAAATTGTTGTGGGCATGTGTGTGTGTGTGTATGTTGAAATTCTTTGGCACAACTATACATAGACAACCGTGCGAATCGGAGGTGCAGGAGGGCACCACCTCATCACGTGCTATAGCCTGGACCGCCGATATCTTGTCTGAACGCCGGAATACCTGGGAATGCTTGAAGGACCTCGCCTCACCAGTGTCTGGCAATGCCCAGAAAGCCCTGCAGAACGTCACCTCGTCCGAGTCTGGTTACACTTGGAGATGCTTGAAGAGTGTCCTCTTGTCAGTGGCTGGTGATACCTGGAGTATACTGGGATAATGCACCATGTTAATGCCAGGGAGTTAGCTGGGAAATGATACCGTTGTCCGTCTACGAAAAAAATCCCGCAACCCTCCGAACCTCGTCAACACTTGCCTTGATCACAAGACCGGGTTCTGCAATCCCAGTAATGCTGCTTTGATATTGAGGTCCATAAACTAAAAAAAAACGTAAACTATTTTTGTTTATATTCTTCGTTTTTTCGGTAAAGTCACGTTGAAGAGAAACAACAAAATAATAAAATATATATAAAACAATAAAAAATTCTCACGACGTTTCGACCATAACTTAAACGGTCGTCTTCAGGTGTGTTGGTTCGCATAAATGTATTTTTAAACGGCGCATTTATTTATTTATAAAAAACGTTAGCGCCATGCGCAATGATTTGGCAGTTTATTTAGGACTAGTCCATCTATATTCTGAAAAGAGGAGGGGGGAGATGACATTTTTTATAATGTATGCTGTCTGAAAGCCACTGTAAGCGTGAACAATCAATTAAGACCTGAAATGGTTTATACACCCAGCCATCAGATTTACCATGGAAGTCGAAATAGATGGCAAGATACCTTTTTTAGATGTCCTAATTAAAAAGAGACCTGATGGTTCAATGAGCCACTCTGTCTACAGGAAAGCTACTCATACGGATGCTTATCTGAAACCGCATTCCCACCACCATCCATCACAGAAGAATTCTCTCATCAAGACTCTGTATCATAGAGCCCAATGCATATCCGACCAGGAACACATAAGCAGTGAACTCAAGCACGTACACCAAGCTCTTAGGGCTAATGGTTACTCCGACTATACAATCCGCAAAGCTATCACTCAAACCATGAAGAAGAACCCTCTTGAGGAGCCTTTCAAAAGCATCACTTTACCCTACATTGCTGGGATCACAAAAAAGATCTCCAAAATCTTGAATAAACACAAGATCCAGGTCCGTTTCAACACATTACATAAAATCCGTGATCTGGTTCCGTCTGTAAAAGATGTGATTCCGGACATACAATACCCTGGTGTCTACAAACTAAGTTGCCTCTGTGGTAGTAGTTACATTGGAGAAACCAAACGCCATGTCTCGGACCGCATTCGTGAACACAAAGCAGACCTTAAACACGGTAGGACCAACACCTCGGCCGTGGCAGATCATTGTTCTAATTCAGTAGGCTCACATGCCATTGACTTTTCCAAGACAGAGGTTCTTTGTAAGCCATCTGGCTTCCATGAGAGATTCGTTCATGAGGCTATCCACATATACAAGCACAGAGACAATTTCAACCGAGAAGATGGATTCTATCTTAGCAATCATTGGAAAGATTTGATAAACCATTTCAGGTCTTAATTGATTGTTCACGCTTACAGTGGCTTTCAGACAGCATACATTATAAAAAATTTCGTCTCCCCCCTCCTCTTTTCAGAATATAGATGGACTAGTCCTGGGTAAACTGCCAAATCGTTGCGCGTGGCGCTAACGTTTTTTTATAAATAAATAAATGCGCCGTTTAAAAATACATTTATGCGAACCAACACACCTGAAGACGACCGTTTGAGTTATGGTCGAAACGTCGTGAGAATTTTTTTATTGTTTTATATATATTTTAGTATTTTGTTGTTTCTCTTCAACGTGACTTTACCGAAAAAACTAAGAATATGAATTACTGCAGTCACGAAAGCTTTAAATGAAAATTTATTTTTTGTTTATTTTACCAGGTAAGATGCATTGGGCCTTATAGCTATTTTTCAGAAGTGACCTGGCCACAAATGATAGCTCAACAAAGTGGCGTATCATGTGGAAATGCAGAGTGGCCAAATACTCTAAACGCATGTTTCTAAATATGCAGAAATAAACCGGAGGACCCGGAGAAAAATACATACGACCACGGGGAGAACGTGCAACTCCAAATATACAGCAGGCATCAACAACCTCCTGTATACCTGGCGAGATAGTTAACATCTCGCCACCGCAGCACCCCTCTATGGTCTATGGTCTCGCTTCCTCATTAAATGTCTATTCCAATTTGTCACGATGTCACGATTGGTTGAATCCAAAATGGATTGCAGGCAAATGTATTTCACTATTATTGTACGGTTTGGCTTCAATGTCAAACGTCTGAAGCTACTCTCGTTTTCCACGATTGCAAGCATTATCTCGACAACATGGAAAAAAATATTCTCACAATTAACTGAATTCATATTCACAAAAATAATGGAAGTTATTTCACCATGAACAATACAGCGTGGCTGAGACTGAATGTGCTCGAACAGCTCTGTATACAAAGGACAAATCACCACTTCAGGAAAGAGGAGAATGGCCTTGCAGTTCATTGGTTTAAAAATATATTTATATATTTTCAATACGTTATAGAGTGATCATAAACTATATTCTGATTATGGCCATACATGTAAAAAAATGTGTTGCAGTGAGGTTTGTTTGGACAAAGAGGTAGTGCTTGTACAATGCAACATAAATAAATAAACAATTTAACACGCGAAACGTCGTACTCAGGTTGTGAATGTTGTGGCTTGGCTCTCCAACTCACCGGTGTGCTGTACTAGTAACGAATTGGCACGTTCTGTTTACGTAACAACCCTTACTAGTTGGCTGTGTCGGGTGGTGGCGGGTTTAACGCCACATTTATATATGTACGCGATCTCACACAAAAAAGCCTGTTTTATGGAAAATAAAAAAAGTTATATGTCTTTACATGTTTTACTTTCATATTTTATTTAAATCATTGTGGTTTCTTAAAGTACAAATGCAGAGAGTACTGCATAAATGTACATACGTGAGAGCGATAGTCGTGTCAGATACGTGTTCACGATTACGTCACGTTATCTGTCAAGAAATACTGCACTCAAAATGACATCCTTAACCGCGCTGTAAGCAACACAAATTCCGGAGCAAAAACAGATTCAGTGAACTGTGGTATCCTTCATACTGCAGTATAAAATCACGGAACAAAGGTGCAAAAAAAGGCGTTAAAAATTAGATTGGTAATTCCCTCTAAAACTCCATGATGACCTTTCTGCGTTATTAACAAAGCTTGGCCACCTGCCCAGCAGCTTTCTGAGTTTAGGGGGTGCGCATTTGCCAGTTTTGACCTGGGGCTGCGCAAGATGAATGGCAGAGCCTCCGCAAGTGTGTATTGTTCTATTTGCCATGCTAATTGGAGCCACAGTGGCGGGGACCTGCAGAGGGCTAGGTTATATTAGAAAGTCACGGTCATTATCCTGCCCTTTGTACATACTTGGCTCATACATAGGCAGCCTCTTTGAAAAATGACATGCCCCCTCACATTAGGATAATTTTTAAGCCCAACAGTAATGTACAGTAATGTGTTTGATTTCAGCATTTGCTTTTGGCAAGAGCATTTTGAGTGTGTGCGGTTTTTTGTGCTATAATGAATATTGTAGTGAGTAGATAATTCTGCTATAATTGTAAAACTATACAAAAGGATTATACGTGATTAATGCGTACGGTGGCGATAACTTACAACTATGCTATTACAGAGACAGGTTAGAATTTTGGATGGAATTGCAAGATAATATTATAGATGATGTATAGATCATAATGAGTCTCTTATAATTAACCATTACTAAACATTCATCTCTCTATATGCTAGCATGTGTCTTTGCGTGTAATTAGGTACTGCATTTTTCCTTGTTTCACCCCAGCTGGTTGCAATTGAGACCCACTATACTGCTGTGAACTCTGCACATTTGCTTTGCATTTGTAGCTTGTGTCTGCGACCGAGTCAATGCAAAAAAAAATGACTGATGTTTGCGTAACTTGAGATAATAGTTTATGATCTGTAATATTATGCTGAAACGGCACAGTTGATTCATTTTAGCGTTTTCTTTTTGGTGCCATCTGGGTTGCAGATATACTTTTTGTCAGCATTGATGGATTGCTGACATTACCATCCACTTTGCGCAGTTTTACTTAAAATACAAAACAACTGGCAGATAACGCGTAGCGGCACCACTGACACTTGGATTCTATTGTGAGGTGGGTTTGTTTAAAATTGTGCTATTCACGGAATTTAATGCTTTTTGTTTAGATGTTGCGCAAATATTTCAAGAATTAGCGGCTTGCATTGCATCACGGTGGTGTTTATTTTCTAAAACCCCATTAAAAGCATCCAACAGCTGCCAAAAAGGCTTATGCATTGCTTCAATGCATTTTTGCTTTTTCCATTTCTCAATGAAAAACATAACTTGTTTATGCTAGAGAATTACACTTTGTGTTTTTTTTCTTCCTAAACCAGTTCATTTAACAAAACATTTTTTTTTGTTGAAGGATAAAATCACTGATCTCATCGGTCTTTGAAAACATTTGTTTTGTGTTTAGACCTTCAATTGTGTGGATAAAAAAAAATGGAACGGAATAAATGTGTCCTAAATATTGTATAGTTTAGATGTTGTGAAAATATAAACGCATGCTTGATTGCTTTGTTTGGAAAATAACATTGAAGAATAATATTAACACGTGTTTATGCTATTTGTCGAGTTGGATAGTTATTTTTTGTTAAGTAGTTTTGATCAATTTCTATGTAATTTGTTAAATTTTCCAGCGTTTCCAATCTATGCACTCAACGGCTTGTACTAATTGTATTTGTATGTCATTATCATGCCTTCATTTGTTTCAAGTGTCAAAGGCACACACGTAATTCAGCCATTCCTATAAACAATATCGGACTTTCACTATTTTCGTTCAAGTGCTGTTTCCTATTAGGTAACCATTAACATATTGCTTTGAAAAACTGGCCACTGCTAATTACTAATTGTATTTGTATGTCATTATCATGCCTTCATTTGTTTCAAGTGTCAAAGGCACACACGTAATTCAGCCATTCCTATAAACAATATCGGACTTTCACTATTTTCGTTCAAGTGCTGTTTCCTATTAGGTAACCATTAACATATTGCTTTGAGAAACTGGCCACTGCTAATTATTATTGCCCGTTCATGAAGCAGGGTGTAATTAGCCAGATTCCCCTTAGGTCCACGCATTGAAATGAAAAATAAAACCTGGCCGTGACCTGGTTTTGAACCCAGGAATATGATGAAGCATTCAGTGACCTCAATTCCACCAACTCTGCCCCAGATGTATTTAAAGGAAATGTGACTTTAAAAAGTGGCAAGACCAATTTCTAATGTTTAATTGTATTTCAAAACAACACATTAAACAATGTTTATATTCCTACAATTATGTTACAATTGCATTT